TTGCTCCTTACCCACAGGATAAAATGAAAGCAATCTGCTAACATGACCCATTGAAATAACCTGTAGAACTAAGATCATGAACAATCTATAGGCACAGAGCCTTAGGGTGTAAAATCCTATCTGTCTTTCGTTTCATTTCATGTATTTATTTTGGTGCAGGAGAAATCAAAGCCAGGGCCTCATGCATGCTAGGCAAGCATGGCACCACTCAGCTTCATGCCTGTGAGTTAGCACTTGACACAGGCAGCGCCATTTTGAAATGTATCCCCTTATTAGAACCAGAACCACCCCAGCTCACTGTGACTCAGCCTGATGTAAACCCCATCCAACTCCATGACCATGCAGGGAAATCCCAAACACTCCCTTCTCAAAAGAAAGGAAACTGGGATCTGGGACTGCAATCCTGAAAAGCCCTGAAGGTGACACAAAGGCCCTTTGCTGACAACTCCCTGGTGATTTCCCAGCCACAACCCCCTCCCTCACTGCCCCATACCTACCCCAGGCGGTCAGTGGAGGAGTCTGGCTCCCCTGGGCCCCCCTCGGGCAGCCCTGTCGGGGAGGACCTGTGCTGCTGCGGAGCTGCCTCTCCTCTCCTCATTTCCTCCACTTGGTTCTTTCCTTCCAGGATCCAGCCCCGGTTTTCATTTTAGACCTTTACAGTCACTCAACAGCCAGACAACTGGAACAGAGAAACTCGAGGAGAGAGGAAAAGAGCGTGCTGTGATTCCGGTTCTGTAGTGTGGGCTCAATGGGAGGCGGGGCCGACTCGGAGGGCTGGCCTCTGCTCAGGCGGTGTGGACGGGCGCTGGGTGCACCAACACCCTCGTGGCCAGTGGAGCCTGGGCGGCATGTGCTGAGCCTGGGAAGCCTGAGATGATTCCTGGGCAATTTCTTCCAGGATTTCTGCAAGTGGGGCAGACCAGAGCCTTCTCTTCTTTAGAGTTGCCCCTTTAAGACTTAAGGGGATAAGGTGGAGGCCTGGGGTGTGGCCCTGGGATCCTGATCTGATGAGCCTGTTAAATCAAAATCAAGTCCCTGGCTGCTGTCACTGGCTCCTGGGATCTTCTTCCAGGATCTAAACACCCAGAGGATGCCCCCAAGGTGCTTCTGCCCAAATGCCTTATTTTCAAACATCAGGGACAGAAGGCTAAATTTACTGAAAACTTTACATTTTTCCTCTTCCTTCTGTATCTCAGGTATGCGGTTCTGTGTCTTCTCCTCCTCCTCCTTCCCTCCCCCTCTTCCTGATACCGTCGGTTAGAGTCCTGCTTCCCCACGTGTTGAAGTTTAAACATTAGAGAAACACTCCCCCCCCCACAAGCATATAAAACAGGGTTTATTTAAAAAGAGGCAACATAGACTTGTCCCAGGAGGGAGAAGGGGCCATAGCTGGTATCCAGGTATCCCAAGAAGCAGGTGTTCTGCCCTTTTTATATGTCCTAGGCTTCCTGTGTTCTCCTGCCTTCTTTCCCTTATCTTTCTCCCTCGTGCCTATGTGACTAGGCCCAGGAATGCCCCCTGGGGTGGCCAAAAGGTGGGAAACAGGTGGACTGAAGGGGGAAGGGCCGGACGATGCAGCCCAGGGCACATTAATTAACAACTTTATAGCTCCCAGCAGGAAGGGGCAATTCCTGGGCAGGTTAGCTTAGCCACAGGCTGGAGTAGGGGCAGGTTCTTGATAAGGGTGGAGGAACTGCTCTAAAGGAACTAACATTTCAATCCCTCTAGGGACAGTCTCCAACTGCTGGACTCACTCAAAATTGGCCTTCTCGATCCGACCTGCCTCAGCAGAGGTTGAACCCAGGGATGCTTTACCCTGGGTCACATCCCTAACCTTTTTTATTTTGAGACACACTCTCACTAAATTGCTTAGAGCCTTCCTAAACTGCTGAGGCTGGCCTCCTCCTGCCTCAACCTCCTGAGTTGCTGGGATTATAGCCACCATAGCAGACTGGAGACCGACCTTCCTTCCTTCCTTCCTTCCTTGCAATTCAAAATATAAATGAATAAAGTTGAA